CCCGGACCCCGACTCGGTCCGCGCCCTTGGCTGTTCCTCCTCCACGCGGGACCTGGGCGCGGGCATCAGACCTCCAGGAGCGCCCCGGCCCGCGCCCTGCCCGCCGGAGACAGCACCGCCCAGGTAGCAGCCCCCTCCCCCTTCCCCCGGGTTTGTGCCTTCAACTGCCCCGATGGAGCCGAGTCACAGTACAGGGGACGGCAGCATCAGGCGCCTGTTGCCTCGAAGACACTCTGTTTCCACTTTAGAGAAAACCGAGGGTTCCCACATAGTGCTGTACTCAGTCTTTCCTGGATTGGACCGGACCACCATAGACGTTTACCTTCCCACATCCTTCTGTGGCCTTCCATCTGGTGTTTAAAGGCCTCGTGTCTAAGGGTTGCCATTCTCTTCTTTTTAGAATTGCTCCTTGTACGACTTCCCAAAGTTGTAGCCATGAAGTTCTTAAAGCAGACCCGAACCCTAAACCAGAGTGTGCCAACTAGGACATGTGTGTAGACCAGTCCGCTAACTTCTCAAAGCTTCTTGTCTGAAGTGAGGGAAATGCAGGTTGATTATAAAATTGAAAGGAGGTGAGAGATGCTGCTTATAGCATCCTGCTTTCCATCCCTGTGGGCGCATAAGCACTCTGCCAATCATATTTGTTTTTATGTGTATGAATGTTTGTTTGCCTGTATGACTGTGCACCATGTGAGTGCAGAGCCCACATTTGACGGTGTTGGATTCTCTAGGACTGGAGTTACAGATAGTTGTGAGCCACCGTGTGGATGCTGGGAATTGAACCCTGGTCCTTTTGGAAGAGCAGTCAGTGCTCTGAACCACTGAACCATCCCACCGCCCAATTGTTTCTTTTCAAAAAGCAGTAATACACCATTTCTAATTAGTCCTACTGAAAGTTATTTTCAAATGATGTTAATGAGTTAATGATAAGGAGTTCTCAGTGAGTGAGTGGATGTTTGGTTAGATGATGCAGTATGGTAGTTGCTTTGGGAAGGGTTATATATGTCAGGAATCCCAGAAATTCCATTATTTTTAATGCACATCTAAAAATCCTTGGGAAGCGATTCATAGTGTATAAATGCAGAAAGATGATAATCAGAATGTTATATGTAATAATTGAAATGTTTGAACTTTTAAAAATGGGAGGCTTTTTCGTTGTTGTTTGTTTGTTTTTTGAGACAGGGTTTCTCTGTGTAGCTTTGGAGCCTGTCCTGGTACTTGGTCTGTAGACCAGGCTGACCTTGAACTCACATAGAACCACCTGCCTCTGTCTCCCAAGTGCTGGGATTGAAGGCTTGTGCCACTACTGCCCAGCTTAAAGTGGAAATTTTAAAGCTAAAGGAGGGTAAGAGGTGGATGGGTCCCTCTGTCCATCAGTATGAACAATCATCAGTATTTTGCCCATCTTGTTTTTATGAAAAATGGGCACTGTTAACAGTGTTGAAAAGTAAGCTGGAGTACATTTAGAATGCTGAGATACCTTGGAAATAATACAGAATTGTATACATGTACCACAACCACAAACATTCAAAATCAAAATAGCCTCCAATCTAGAAGAAAGATAAACATAAGGTAATTTCCCTTTAGTGATGGGGATATGAGTGGCCCCCACTTGTGTTGTATTACTGTGTCTAGCAATTCTGGAAGCGCCGTATCAGGACTGAGCACGGCAGCACATCAGAGCCTGCTCACTGCCACAGCGAATTGGTCCACTGATGTTTTCACTTTCCTCCACCCATGCTTACATTCACTTTCTTGTCTGCTACCTGTTATTCCCTGTGGTCAGCCTACAAATTCAGATCTGTAAGAATAATTTTAATTTTAATTACTTTTATTTATTTAGCTAGGGGTGTGGGGAGCTGTGGGAATTAGAAGATAGACTTCAGAAATGGGTGTCTGTCTTCAGCATGTGAGCCCTGGGGTGCTGAACTCAAGTCATCAGGCTTGGTGGCAAGAGCCTTTATCCCTGAGCTGTCTTGCTGGTCCTGTATATCCAAATCATTATTAATCTTCTAGGTGTAATTGATTGATATTATTCTACTTATTTCTACCAATGTTTCCCAGCAGGATGCAGCATAGTTTCCTGTAGCAGGATGACACGCCCCCAGCCTTCCCCCATACCATTCCTTTTCTTCCTTCTCTAGGCAGGAATATAACCTAGACCATATGCATTTACATACTTTTCTAAAACAACCGTTTCAAACAATTTAAATAAGATGATGAATTCACAGTTTGGTTGGTTGGTTGGTTGGTTGTTTTTTTTCAAATAGATTGCAATGGAGTTTGGCCAGAAGTCCATTTTGCTTTTGGTGAGGGCCAGAGCTGCTGTTAAACTGAGGATAGGACACATTTAAAAATAGTTAAGGGGGATCACTTTCCAAGAAAAGGGGTAAATGAAATTTGTTTCATGTCTGAAAAGAAACTTTGTTTCCCAGGTATGCAAAGAAGCCTCTTTGTCCTGATGTCTTCAGAGATACTATGGACCAGTCCCGAGTTTTCCTCTGGGTAAAGGCAGAACCTTTTATAGTGGGTGCCTTGCAAGTGCCACCTCCATCCAAATTCAGTCTTCACTACCTCAGGAAGATAGCCACCTATGTGCGGACTCGGGCCACAGAAGGCGCCTACCCGCGCCTATACTGGTCTACATGGAGACACATTGCCTGTGGAAAGCTGCAGCTGGCCAAGGAGCTGGCATGGCTTTACTTTGAAATATTTGATAATCTTTCGGTGAGGACACCCGAGGAGCGCCTGGAATGGTCTGAAATTTTGTCCAACTGCATGACTGAGGATGAAGTTGAAAAGCAAAGAAATCAGGTATGGGCTGATGTGCATATAGTTACTTTGAGACACAATTCTTTCTTAATTTTTATACTAACAGTCTAGTTTGCGGTTTTAGGTTGTTGGCCATTGTGATTTTAAGGTGCCATTTGAATGTTAGTATTTAGCTTGGAAGTGTTTTGATGCATGTGATCAGTTAATTAGTCTTTTTACTTACTAGCCCATATTTCCCCACTCTTGAAGGAACCACGAATTGTCAACTCTTCCATTGACTTTAAAAATATTTGGGGCCAAGTGAACTGCTGATGTTACAGATAGAGGCGCCTGATTCTGTAGAAGTCTATTGCCTGCACCTTCTCAGACACCTGATTCTATCTTGACTGTTTAAAAAATAACATCTGCTGTATGATAGAATTAAATAATTACTGAGTGTGTATTAATTTGCCAGTTTTCTGTTGCTAATAAGACAGTGCCACAGACAGGGCTATTTTTAAAGAGCTTTATTGTGGCTCATAGTTCTGGAGATCCAAGGTCAAGAGGCAACATATATGGCTGTAGAGGTGGTTCTCAACCTGTGGGTCTCAACCCCTTTGGAGTCAGATAACCCATCACAGCAGTCACCTGAGACCATTGAGAAACACAGATAGTTACATTAGGATTCATACAGGAGCAAAATTAGAGTTATAAAGTAGCAACAAAAATAATTTTATGGTTGGGGGTCCCTACAACATGAGGAACTGCATTAAAGGGTTGCAGCATTAGGAAGGTTGAGAAGCACTGGGCTATAACATTCTTGCTGGAAGAGACCTGAAGGAATACAGGAGGGCATCACATGGTGAGAGACACTATTTTCCTGTGTGTGTACAGTAGTTTCTCTTCTCTTTACAATGCTACCAGTATTGAATCTCGGAGCTCTGATCTGGTATCTTTGTTTAATCTTCATCACTTCCTAAGTCTCACCCAACACTATAGTCACATCATATTCAAGCCATAGCATTCTGCTTCTGTCTCTTGCTCCACACAGCTCATATGCTCATAGATAGAATCAGCCTCTGTAAATAATCCCACAGTCTCCTCTGTAAATAATCTAGCCTCCATTAAAAATTCTAGAGTCTCACTTGAGATTCAAGGCAAACTCTTCAGTTGTGAGACTGTAAACTCAAGTTATCTACTCAGAATAGATAGATAGATAGATAGATAGATAGATAGATAGATAGATAGATGGACAGGCCTTTAATTCCAGCACTTGGGAGGCAGAGGCAGCTGAATATCTATGAGTTTGAGGCCAGCCTGGTCTACAAAGCTAGTTCCATGATAGCCAGGGCTGCACAGAGAAACCCTGTCTCAAAAAGCAAAAAAAAAGGGAAAGAAGAGAAAGTAGTAATTGGCCCAGGGCCATCAGAGCAGACACAAGTGGTTAAACCTCCAAATTCTCTTGTCTTGGGTTCAGGTTGTACCCCTAGAGCCTTATGTAGTTCTTCCTCTATGTCTTTGCTAGGCTCAGCCCATACTTCAGCTTTCAGTTCAGAATCTCATGACTGTGGTTGGTATTGTAGATTGGCAGTTCCCAGTTACAGAATCCTGGTGGTAATCCCATTCTTACAGTTTCATTAGGCATTGACCCTCCAGCAGGATCCTTAAGTCAGCCTCTATGTGGCCTCTTCAGTTTTGCTTTGAAATCTGGGTGGAAGCTGCCATGTTTCTGTAGCTCTTGCATTATGCATGCCTACAGTATATGTTAGACTAAAAGCTAACAATTCCTCCTTTAGATTAGTGTTAGCAGCTGTACCTGGGCTTGCTTGAGTATAGCCAAGGTGGCCAAAGAGTGCACTTCTGGAAAGAAGGGAGCAGAAGGTGCGGATTTATGGAGAGCACCCTGGGCACTCTGAAACAGTCTTTCCTTTAAGCCACTGACTGGGCTGTGGTGGGAGAAATCGCCCACAGACTCCTGACATGCCCCTCCCCCCAGGTCTCTTTCCTATTGTCCTGATACTTCTGGCCTCATTTCACCCATGCTGATCTCTTTGGCAAGGTTACTGGATGCACCCCTACATGGTTTTCCTTTGCTCCTTTGCTAGATGACCCGAAAAGCTTTCAAATCCTTTTGCTTTGTTTGCTTTTAAATTATACTTTCTATTCTTAGACGCTGCTTCTACACCCTTCTTCTTCTTCTTCTTCTTCTTCTTCTTCTTCTTCTTCTTCTTCTTCTTCTTCTTCTTTCTTCTCCTCCTTTTCTCTTCTCCTCCTCCTTCTCCTCCTCCTCCTCCTCCTCCTTCTTCTTCTTCCTTCTTCTTTTTCTCTACACCCTTCTTAATGAAGTTAAAAGGTAACCCAGGAACAGCTTGACTGCTTTGTTGTGTTTTTCTTCTGCCAGGCAGAAGAAATTCTATAAATTCTGCCTTCCATAAATCTCTAGATGGGTGCAGGCAAAGTCCTCTTGCAAGAGCTAACTCAAGAGTCCTGGTAGAGTGTATCTTTTCTGAGGGCAGCACTCTCAGCAAGACCTAGAGACCTCCTACTAGATCTCACCTAGTACAGGTCCTACCATCTCCCCATATTGCCACCCTGGGGGTCCCGTGTCAGCGCATAACTCACTGGAAGACAAACTACATCCAAACCAGAGCAGACAGCATCTCTGCTACCAGGACTCCATAAGCTAGTGAAAAGGTCACACATTCAAGTTCAGAAATGGACTTGAGAGTGATTCATTCTTGTGGCTGGAATGACTTCACAGAGTATATTGGTTATATACAGTAGTTTAATTATAGCAGCATCAGCTTGGGCCAATAACAGCTTGTTTCTCATTTGTCCAACAGTCCTACACAGCTGCACTTGATAGGCTCAATCTCTGGGCTCTTGTCCAAGCAGTGACTCAAGAAGCCACGTTCTGATATTTTGGAGTCACTTGGTGTTAAATGGCTCTGCACCGGGGGGGGGGGGGGGGGGGGGGAAAAATGGATGAAGGGAGGCTTAGGGTAGCAGCAGCTGATCTGCTTATTTTACATAGAGGCCACACAAGCTGTGGCTCTCTTCCAGGTTGTGGTTAGCAGAGAGAAGAAAATGCTTCCTTGTAGACCATGTCTATTCTTGTCACAGATGGGAAGAGCAGCAGAGTGGGAGGAAACGGTTGCCTTCCCCCTCATGATGAGCCAGAGGATAGGTCTTTACTGTGAAGGCTCAGACTGTTACTTTCCTAAATTCTTCCCATATCTGTTATTATTATTTTACTAGTGCATGTATTAAGCACACATAAGTTCTAACATTTAAGAAAACTTTATATATTTATGGCAGTATTGTTAGCTAGAGGCATGGTGCTGTATTACAGACCTGAAGGACTAAATTACCTTGTGTAATTGAAACTTTATTAGCTTTTGACAACAGCCTATTTCCCTCTTCTTCCAGCATTCAACAGTCACTGTTCTACTGTGTTTCTATGGATGTAACTCTTAGATTTTGGTTGTCCTGTGGTTTGAGTGTCTTCCATGGTATCCCATTTTAATGTTCCTCGTGAGAGATTAAGAGGGTATAGACTAAGTCTGAGCAAGATCTGATGATGGAGGCCTGTTATCCCAGCTGTTAAACAGACAGGAGGATCATAGGTTCAGGGCAGCCTGAGCTACCGAGTGAGTTTAAGTCTAGCTTGGGCAATTTAGTCTCAAAATAAAAAAAAAATAAATAAAATGCATATACACTATGTATAAAAAGATCCTAATGATTCCACCAGACAAACATTTTCAGAAAAGCAGTGAAATAAAAGAACAATGTATAAAAGCCAGTAGTTTTTCTATATAATAAGAATGAACTTGCTGACAAAGAAATAAGGGGGAAACAAAAGCAATCAACCTTGGAATAAACTTACCAGAGAAGGTGAAAGATCTCTATAGTGAACACTTTTAATACTGAAGAAGGAAATTGAAGAAGACATTCAAAATAGAAAGGGCACCAATGATCACAGATCAATAGGAGTAATATTGTAAGAAAAAAAATGGCAGTATTGCCGGCAGTGGTGGCGCAGGCCTTTAATCCCAGCACTCGGGAGGCAGAGGCAGGCGGATCTCTGTGAGTTCGAGATCCGCCTGGTCTCCAAAAGCTAGTTCCAGGACAGCTTCCAAAGCCACAGAGAAACCTTGTCTCGAAAAACCAAAACCAAAACAAAAATTACCAAAAGTGATCTACAGGTTCTATGCAACTCAAAGTTTTGATGACATTCTTTACAATACTAGGAAAAGCAATCTTAGAATTCATGTCGAAGCACAAAAGACCCTGAATAGCTGAAAGCTGAAGCAGTTCTATGGCAAAAGAGCAAGGCTGGAGATGTCATAATACCTGATATCAAATTATAGTAAAGAACACCATAGTAACAAAAACAAACATGTAGAATAATAGAGTAGAGGACCCAGAGAGAAACAAGCACAGCTACAGCCACCTAATCTTCAACAGAGATGTCAAAAAGCACGGGGAAAACTGGTGTCATCTTCAGTAAGTGGTACTGGGAAAACTGGATATCCATGTGTAGAAAAATGAAAATAGACCCTCTTTTCTGAATAAAACCAATGAAAAATGCATCAACTACCTGGAGCTCTAGAACTGAGGAGGAGGACAGCGTAAGGTGCAGACATAGACAGGGCTTGCAGAGAAGCACAGGACTCTGAGAGCACAGGACATCAGCTCAAGAATTGATCCTTGGGATTGTGTGCAATTTAAAACTGCACAGCGAAGAAAACATTCAGAAGATCGAGGAGACTGTCACAGAATGAGAGCAAATGAAAACTGTACATCTAATGGGGTTGATACCTAGAGTCTGTAAAGAACTAAGGAAATTAAACAAAATGAACAACACAGCCAATAAATGGACAAATGAATTGGATAACAAGTCTCAAACAATCTTAAGTGGTAATATGTGAGAAAAATGTTGTCTTTAGCCATTAAGGAAATGGCTAAAGACATTTGAGAATCCAATGACTTTGAGAATCCAACTTACAAAGTCAGAATGGCTGATGTAGTAGACAAATGACAAGGGATACTGATGAGGATGTGGGGAAAGAGGAGCCCTCACATAGTGCTGATGGCAATGTCAGCCATGGAAATCAGCACAGAAGTGTGCCCAAGGGTGTCTTCAGTGAGCATACCAAGGAGATAGTTGACATCCATGTTTACTGCTTCACTACATTGTAGCCCAAATGCAGAATCTGTCTAGTTGTCCATCAACAGATGAGTGAATAGAGAAAATGTATATATGCCTAATGTAGCCTCCTTCAACTGTAAAAGAATGGAAGTATATAGCTATTACTAGAATGCCTGGTTTATGTGTGAGATAGTGTCATAACAAAGCTTTTTGCTTCATATAATGAGTATGTGCTAATAAAATTTAAAAACCACACTCCAACATCTAATGTAACTATAGTGTTTAGTGATTAGGACTAGATAAGGTCATTAGAGTAGACTTAACATTTGTAGGGGAGAGAACAGACAGATAATATACCACTCCCATTCTTGGGATCTGACACCTCCAGGCCATCTTGCAACTTTGGCTGAAGAAGGCCAATACCAAATGGATGCCTTGCACCTCCAGAACTGTAAGCCAAATAACTTCTCTTTTTATGAAGTAGCCTGCCATGCATATTCCATTATACTATAACAAAAGGTAGACGAATACAACATACAAAGGGAGTCAGTCATATTTATCTTTCTATGTCTGACTTACTTTGTGTGTGTTTTGGCCCAGTCCGTGGGTAGGGCTATATAGGTCTCTGGAAAGATGGGAATCAAACAGTTACAGAAAGTACAGTTGCTCCAGCCTTGCCAAATAGGACCAGAGTCTTTGTTTTCTGTTTCTTCTGTTTTGTAGGCCAGTCTTGAAAGTGGCAAATCAATCATGAATTCATCTACATTTCATTGACTGTAACTCATAGGCCCATCCCCCTCCAAAAATGCACATGCTTAAGAAACCGCATAGCTCTGGTTGCCACACTGATGCCAGCCAGCTTCAGTTGCTAGACTGATTCCTAGATTTTCTTGGTCAGCCTGTGAATCTAGGTTAAACCTTTAGGCTTGGTTGCACTTCCTTCTTTTTTCTCTCTTGCACCTGTTCATTTACCACTTGAATTACCGAGGCTGCTTTTTCACCTGTAATGCTTTTGGAAAGGACATTGGTTTTCAGAAAGACTTCCTGTAGCTTGCTATGAAGTGACTCCAGTTACATAACCTAGAAATGCCTCTGAGCATCAAATGATAGCCAATTCTAAATCTGATGGTTTTTAAGATCAAGAGGCTATGTAATCCTAGTTTACTGTATTCTCAATTGTAAACTAGTGATGGGTGGTTTTAAGGTGTGTTCATCCTTTATTTCCTGCACAGCTTTCAGTGGACACCTTGCAGTTTCTGCTCTTCTTGTACATCCAGCAGTTAAACAAGATCTCACTGCGGACGTCCTTGATTGGGGAAGAGTGGCCCAGTCCCAGAAGCAGACCACAGTCTCCTAGCCTCACCGAAAGGCCCAGTTGTCACAACAAGGTATTGTTCAGATCTTGTAAAGGAAATGCTTCCCCTTCACTAAACAGTATGCTGGAATGAAGCCAGGCATTGTAGAGTGTGACTGAAACTCTAATTCCTGGGAGGCAGAGCCGGTAGGGTTATGAATTCAAGGCCAACCTGGGCCATTCAGTGAGACTCTAGCTCAAAAACAAAACAAAACAAAAAAACTCCCTTCTCACCCCCTTAAATTACTTAAGTAATGTTTTAACAACTTGTCTCACATAATGAGTCTTATAAAAGGTCTTACAGCTTTTTCTTTTCTATCATAAAGAAAAACAAGTATTTTCACCTGCCTTTTTGTGTGTGAAGTGTATTGAAGAACTTTAATAGTACCACATAAAGGCTCTTATTTAGTGTGGATGTGTACATTTGTGGATATGCCGCAGCATGCATGCATGCGGCGGTGAGAGGACAACTTGAAAAGGTTGGCTCTCCCTTTTCACCATGTGGTCTCAGGGCCTGAACTCAGGTCACCATGTTTGAGAGCAAGCATCTTTACCTGTGGAGCCGTCTTGCTGGCCCCAGACACATCTTGCCTGGCTAGTTAGTATTTCAGTGTTGAGGGTTGTGCTCACGGAAGTCTTTTCTTTCTCAGCAGCCTGCTCAGCACCTTCAGGCACTTTTCCCAGTCAGTTTGAGATAAGTTTCTCTATGTCACTTAGCCAAAGCCTAGTGTCTTCAGCAATAAGGTCTTTGCATGTAGTTATGGTCAGTAACCAAGGGCAACAGCAATAGCTTATGTTGCTTGGGGGGGGGGGCCTCCGAGGCCTCCCTGACCTGTATCTCACAGGGAGATACCCTGTACCCCTCTCTAGTTTCCTGGCCCCCACTGAAGCATCAAGTTATACACAAAAACAAAAGATTTGAAGCTGGAATCCAACTGAGAGAGGACATGCGGTATTTGTCTTTCTGGACCTAGGTTACCTCACTCAAGGATAATTTTTCCAGTTCCATCCATTTATCTGCAGATTTCATTATTCCATTTTTTTAACAGCTGACTAAAATTCCGTTGTGTCTATGTACTACATTTTCCTTATCTACTAATCTGTTGATGGACATCTGGGTTGATCCCTTTTCCTGGCTGTTGTGAATAGAGCATCTGAGAACCTGGATATCCGTGCAAGTGTCTCTGTAGTAGGAGATGAAGTCCTTTGGGTATATGCCCAGGAGCAGTGTAGCTGGGTCATCTGTAGATCTGTTTCTAGTTTGCTCCTTAATTTGTTTTTGTTTGTTTGCTTTGAGATAGGGTTTCACTTTGTAGCCCCAGCTGGCCTGGAACTCGCTATGTAGACCAGACTGTCCTCCAACTCAGCAGGATCTGCCTGGCACTCCTTCTCCAATGCTGGGATTAAAGGTGGCACTCCTTCTCCAATGCTGGGATTAAAGGTGTGCACCGCAATGCTGGCCCTCTCTAGTTTTCTGAGAAACCTCCAGCAGTCTGCAAGTCCACACTTGTACCAACAGTGTGTAAGGAAGAAAACTCCTTTTGCCACATTCACACCAGCATTTGTTCTCCTTTGTGCCCTTCTGACTGAGCCGAGATGGAATTGTAATACAGTTTTCATCTGCACTCCCCTTATGACTGAGTATGTTGAGCACTTTTAAAGTGTTTCCTGGCCATGTTCATATCTCCTTGGAATGATTTTGTTGAATCCCATTGCACATTTTTAATTGGGCTCTTTATTAATATTTAACTTTTTGATTTCTTAGTATATTGCCGACCTTAAGCGTTTGTCAGATAAGTAGCTGGCAATGACTTCCTCCCATTCTGAGAGCAGGAAATCTTTGTTTTCCTGACAGTTTCCTTTGCTAGACAGACTCTTTTTAGTTTCCTGGGGTCCAGTTTGTTGATTGTTGGTCTTATTTCCTGTGCTGTGGGAGTAGTATGTAACTTCAGTTTAATCTTTAATAAATGGTAAAATTACATGTATTCTGAAGGATTGTTTAGTCAACCCATTTTCCCACAAAAAGTTGTATATTTGCATAAGCCAAAAAATATTAGTTTTTAAGTTTGACAGTTTCTTAAAAGTGAGGATTTTGTCAAATACTTCTTCCACTATTGAAAATGTGAAGTGAAGCCGGGCGGTGGTGGAGGAGGCCTTTAATCCCAGCACTTGGGAGGCAGAAACAGGCAGATCTCTGTGAGTTCCAGGCCAGCCTGGTCTACAAAGCTACACAGAGAAACCCTGTCTTGAAAAGCAAAAAATAAAAAATAAAAAAAGAGAGAAAGAAAGAAAATGTGAAGTGAACAGAGCTGTGTTCACCAATCACTTCCTTCCATGTCATGGCAAGAGAAGAAGGGCTAGGCTGGCATAATATACACCCCAGAGATCTGGAGACTACAGATAGCCTTTGATAAACTCTACAAAATATTGTGTAGTGGTTACTTTCAGAAGTAAATTCTTCTCGCTTCACAAAACTCTTGAAAACAGAGTAGAAAAAAGAAGGAAATTGTCATATGAATAGAAAAGAAATCAGTTTCCAGCATTTGCCTTCTGAACTTTCTCGTTCTTTTTTCTTAATACAGTAGAAATACTGTGTAGAATTCACTTGTCTGTCTGTCTGTCTGTCTGTCTGTCTGTGTTTTAAGGGATGCATCCTCTGTACAGGGTTTCTCATTGAGCCTGGAGCTCACTGTTTTGGGACTAGACTGACAGCCAGAAAGCCGCAGTGCCCTCCTGTGTGCCCTGCTCACCCCTCCCAGAGGCTCTACATGTCACAGTCACACTGTGTGAGTGCTGAGGTCCAAATTCAGGTCCTGATGTTGTGAAGCAAGCCTTCTCACACACTGGGCCATCTCCACAGCCCTCTTTCTGGTCCTTGTGTGTGTCTGTGTGGATTCCTCTGTGTTGGAACATGCTGTATCTTCAGCACTAGATGCTGCTTTCTTCTTCGTTGGTTTTCTTGGTACTGATTTTGCTTTCAACCCTCCACTCCCACATCACAAAGTCCAGTGCCATCATCCTTGCTTCCTGTGACTTTTAGTCTTGCATAAATTTTAATATTTTTTCAGCACTAATTTCACAGTTTCTATTTACTCAGCAATTCCATCTTGCTTAAGTGCCAGCCTCCCCTCCCCCAAAGCATTTCTCCATAAAACCTGTAATGTTTTCTTTGTTTCTAAGTTTGGGGTTTCTTAATGTAGTTTATCCTTCCAGTGAAGATGTAGCAGCCTCTGGAGTACATGATACCATCTCAATGGGCCACACCATTGTGTGCACCGTCAGCACTTGGGATTGCAGTAGTGCATCACAGCATCTTTGTATGTGATGTGAGGCCCATCTGGACAGTACCAGTAGGCACGGCCATACTGTACCAAATAGACCTGCCAAGGTTCTGGGCACTCAGAACTTTTGAGGCCCTGCTATCCCATGGCACATATTCAACTCAGGATACCCAGAATTCTTAGGCTTAATTGAAGGGTGGTTTTGCTTCATGTATTTTCTGAAGATTATTCTTTTTTTTTTTTTTTTTTTTTTTTTTTTTTTTCTCCTCCTGAGACAGGTTTTCTCTGTAACAGCTCTGGCTGTCCTGAAACTCACTCTGTAGACCAGGTTGGCCTCGAATTTACAGAGGTCCACCTGCCTCTGCCTCCCGAGTACTGGGATTAAAGGCATGCACTGCCACTGCCCAGCTCTAAAGATCATTCTTTATTTTAAACCTATAACTTTTCCCATTTTTAGTGTAGGTTACATCCTTCAGTACTTAAGGCCAAAATTCTTCACTTTACGGGAACAAACCCATTTCTGATTTTGTACCAGGTTGAACAGCTCACTGTACCATTTAGTAGAAGGAAGTCTGTTGTTACTGGGTTCCACTTTATAAAACAAGGTGTGTGTATTAGTCAGAGTTCTCAAGGAACATTATGTATATTATAGAGGTTTATTAGACTGCTTACTGGATGTGGTCCAAGTAGCCAGCAATGGCTATCTCACGGTGGAAAGGCCAAGGATCTGGTAGTTGTGGAGTCCATGAGGCTACATGTCTCTGCAGTCCCAATCTGGTGCTGTATCCTGGAAGATTCCTGGAGCTGCTGGTCTTCCGTCTGTGCTGGAATCCTGAAGAAGTTATACTTAATGCCAGCCTCAGCCAGGGTAAACGGACTTACCATCAGGAGTGAGGACAAGCAGGCAGAGAGCAAAGCTTCCTCCCTCCAGGTCCTCTATTCCGACTGCCAATCAGAAGGCATAGCCCAGATTTAGGGTGGGTCTTCCTACCACAAACAATCAGATTAAGAAAGTGGCTTAGAGATGTGCCCAACAGCTTGGGTTTTAGTTGATTCCAGATGTTGTCAAGTAGCTATGACAGTATGTCATTGCCATGTGATTTGAAAGAATTTCTATTCAACTTGCCGAGATCTTCTTGCCTCTGCCTCCCGAGTGCTGAATTCAAGGCATGCACTGCCACTGCCCGGCTGCAGGTCTATTTTAATGCAATCATGTTGTCAAGATTTCATAGTTTCAGCTTCTTTGTCATGTTTAGAAGGTAGTATCTTGTAGCAGGCATTCTGGTCTCTCAATTACAAGCATTCTGCCCATTTTGCCTACAAACCACAACAGTGACTGGCCTGGCAACTTATCTCCAGGGATGGAATAGCAGCACTTAAATCTTGGAGGTAACCAACAACTGTCTAATTGGATTTAAGGGAAAGAATGCATGCTTGATACTGTAAACCAAGCAGCTGACTTCCTATGGCTAGAGAAGCCATAGATCTTAGAGGAGAACCAACTACTGCCATTATTCTAAATCAGTATAGTTTAACTGTGTTCCAAACACTAATCTTTATAGTCACAGATAAGTGTATCTCTCACCCCTCATCAAGACAGCTTCTTTGTGCAGCAAATGTAGGTTATTGCATAAGTGATTGTGGAGTACCTCAGTCCCAAATGGAACATCTACAACACAGTCCTATACCCAAGGCTCAAGGAGCATCAAGAAATAGACTCTTGAGTATAGTACCTTATTCACTGTTTTACCTTTGACTTTGTTGAAACAGAATCTCATTATATTAACAAAACTGGTCCCAGACTCCTGGGTTTATGTGATCCTCCAGCCTGAGTGTCCCAAGAAATTGAAACGATAGCATGGACTTCCATGCCTGGCTCTCATTGGTCTGGTTTGAAATGAAGACCTATAGCTATCAGTCCTTTAGACTGAAGAACTTCCTAGCTGGCCAGGACCTGCTGTGACTGGCCCTGCCTGCCGTTTTAGTTCCTATTCCCAGTATGCTTCTTATATCCCATTCAGAACTTAGTTTTCTTGATAGAGCTCTAGTCTTTGCTGTTCTCTGTAACTTGAGTGTCTTTTTTCATAGTTGTTCATTTCACTAACAGCATCAGCCAAGAATTTATTCAAATAACACTTCTGTCATGATTTTTTTCCTCTCATGCTTGTAGAATGCCCTTACAGACAGATGTCTGTACCTGCTCTTAGGCTATATTTCCTATATCTCTATTGTCTTCTCACCACGGACTCCCGAGTTCCTTGAGGACAGAACTGTCTTACCCAGTTTGCATATTCATCGTCTAGCACAATCCAGGCCAAACAAATATAATTAACATAGATGAGGCAAATAACAGGACACTCACCAACTCAAACCTTGCTCCCAAGGTGGTAATTTCTGTTAGATCTAAGGGCCCAAAAACTATAACTGTAAATCAAGAAACTCAGTGCTTTGTGTGTAGGGGTGGCTGCCATACTTACTTTAATGTTTAATCAGATGCAGCCAGACACGTATACTAAAATGTTGTGTATAAACGTTTGGGCTGGGTGTGTAGGGTGTGATGATTTGGTCTCAGCCTCAAGATAGCTCCTCAGGTAAAAAGGTCTGAAAAAGTCTAAAACAGTTCTGGTCTCAACATATTTGATAAAGGACATTGAATCCATAGTGCTTTTGAGTTAGTTTACAAATGCTGCATATACAAAGATCACTTTTACATAGCTACCCACATTCTTTTGAGAGAATGAAATGGCATATAAACACAATATAATTAAAATATTTTTTCACTTTTTATTAATATTATTATTATTAATTCAAGTTAGGGAACAGGCTTGTTTCACATGTAAGTCCCCTTTCCCTCTCCCTCCCCTCACCCCCATTCCTTCTCCCCCACCTCCAACCTACCCCCCACCCCATCCACCCACC